TGATGAGTGGTGTATGATGAGTGGTGGTTGAACAGCTGTTGAATGTCCGTAACACGGAAGTTTTGCACACTAAACTTCCTTTGATAACATTTGTTCATTGTTTTGGGTTCTACAATGGCCCATAAATATGTTCAAGGATTTGCCGTCATAACCAATCAGAAATTACAACAGTGTGTTTCCAAGATACCAATCCGGCAGTGTGTATGTGACTTCCGCAGACTGCAAAATGCAGTTGTGCGGAAGCGCCCTTGGGTGACCAAAAGATTGAGGAATGTCAAGACATACTGATTCTTGCATTCACGAACTGTATTGTCCGCCTCAGGGTTGTAATCCCCATCATAAAGTTCATGAGAACAAAGTAATCCCCTAAACAGTGCCTGCCCTCTTGCACGACCAGGCGCATTGAGAAGTAGTGTGGTTGGGTGCGGACGCCCAACCTCATCACATATGCGGAATACCTGGGTCAGGTTGCTGATTTGGTCTGAAAGTAAACCTGATACAGTAAATAGGTAGCAAAGACTTAAGTATGTATCTATGTATCTATGCACCTACTATGCACCTATCTATGTCTCTATGTATCTATTGAGATTATCTATGTTTCTATGTATCTGTGTATGCAAGCCCATCAAAAACCATTAGGGTTTTTAAATGTATGTCTGTATGTGTTCATTGCTTTAGTGTTTTGTTTGTTATCTATGTATGTGGGCATGCATCATGCACGAAACATTAAAAAACAATAACTTGCGACCAGGGACATCTTCGATGGTTTGAGTGAGGATTTCCAGTATGCAACTGCTATCATGACGGGCAGACTCATCCATGATGAAAACATTGGCTGTGTAGCCGAAAGCCCAAGCTCCATGTACTTTGACACGGGGTCTTTGGTGTTTGGACCTGGTCGGCATTGGTCTTCAGGAGTGTCAAAGGATTCATTTTTTGGGGGGGTTGAACATAGTATGGTGATGATCTAAAAAACTGCATATTGATCAAGCCTAGGGACAATGCTGCATTGTTCTTCAACTCCGGTTCTCTGGGAATGGCAAATTTGCTTTGGTCCATTCCATCAGTCCCAATCAATAGGATTGGAGTCTGTGGTTCAGCAGATTCGGATTGCAATCGCCAAATGATTGTTCGATCACAATACTGGCTGTGCAAATGGGCCCTGTATTGTTTCAGCACAACCAGTTTGGATTCCAAAGAGTTGTTCTTATCATTCAGGGCTTGCTTCAGAGCAAAACATACCTCGCAGGTGGTGAAAAGATTGCGGCTTCTAAATCTGAGTATATCTGACCAGCGGCGCTTGTACACATCCAAGAAAGTTCCATACCTGAGAACTGGGAGGAATCACAGGCATTTGGAACTGTGGGAACTACAGAGTAATGGATGTTACTGGTTTCCTGATGAATATATCCATATCCAATAGTCGACCCATTTGGCTAAAAAAGCAAAACATAAAATAGCAGCTCAAGAACGAAACTGCATAGCTGCCTAGCAATGCTTGAGTAGCTTTGTAATGCTCATACAGATCAGCAATTGTTCCAGGTGGTAGGAACTTTCGCACCAAGGCTTCGTGTGGAACCAGACCTTTGACTGAAACTTGTGCTGAGCTGAGCCATTGTCTCAACTCGTCTTCGTTTTCCAAATCAGATGCAATTTCTTCAAAATTGCTATCCTCGTCATTGTCGAGATCAGATTTGGGCTTGGTTGCACGTCCACGTCGAACAAACCTAGCTTAGCTGGGAAGTAGACAGTAGATCAAATGATCTCACGTTGGAGCCATGTAACAAGAATGAAACAAATGATTGCTAAAGATATGGCATGAAACTGGTCGGGTAGGGTTTCCGCAATTGAGTCATAGGATACTTGGAAAAAGGCGTCAGCAGTGAATGATCCAGGTTTGAAGTGGTGCACTCTCTGCCCATACCTCAGGTCTGGTGTGCCTGAAGCAGCCTTGCGCAGGCGAGCTTGGCCAACGCCCACCAGAGCTGCCAAACATTTAGATCCAATAGGAACATCCAACAATGTCCATGATGTGGTCGTACCACTCCCAGTTGAAGAAAGGAGCAACTTAGATGTCAAAACAACCATCGTCCTCATGCAAGTTGTCCTAGTTTTTTCAAACTATGATATTCCAAATCTTGATGCTGTTACATATGTGCAGTAGGGTGACAAGTGTGTCTTGGTCCTGCTTGTCCAAGCCCCAGAATTCAGCAATGAACTTCTGCAGGTCCTTCGAGGACGAGGTGAACTTTGCAAAGCAATTCTTCTGAGCACCTGAGGCGTGGGTGGCAATTATAACCCTGTGAAATCAATCCATGAAGAACCTGAGGGTATAAAACAAAAAGAATGTGCCTCCATGGCACATCGACATGTAAGGTTTTGTAAGAGCGATTGCAATCGTTGAGGATCAGAGCCACTCTTTTTATAGCTTCCAGCTTTGTCTTTGTTGAGGTACAATGCGCTCGCTTCCCGTTTGGAATTGTCATAAGAACGTTTCTGTTTTCCAACTGTTTGATCATCTTGGTTTTTCTTCCAGAAATCTGCTTGTTTCAAGTTGAGCATTGATTGCCACCCCAAGGAAAAAGCACTGGAGGATGCGCAATGGAAATCACCAAAAAGAGCAGGAACAGGTTTTGATGCCCTCCCACTTCGTTGTTTTTTCTGGGAAGACTGATCGTCCTCAGGTTCTTCCCCTTCATCCTGAAAAGGCAACGTGGAAACCTTTGTAGCACCTGTAGATCTCCTAGTACTTGATGAGCTCACATGTCTCGGCCCACCATCAGTCCCCTCAGCCCTTTCAAATCCAAAGGCCTTGGATGGCCTTCGATCTCTGGATGATGGCGCATGGCTCAGTGATAGGAAGGGCAAAGGTTTAGCACTTGGTTCACTACCTTCTTTGCCGAATGGTGGCATTGGCTGCGACACAAATACACTATAATCCAGGATTTGGTTCACTCAATCATTGATTGAACATGCAGGAGTATGAACAGTGAACAGCACTGTTTCGCACGAGATCCAGGATATCCCACGATTGAATTGTCAGCCACAACTCGAATTTGTTTGGGCACGTTTCCAAACACAAAGTATGAATTTAGTTGTTACTGATGCACAGCAACATCATCAGCAGCATAAACCCACCCTCTGGCAGGCTCATGCCGTTGCCAGCCATCTTCCGCAAGCTAGCTTCTGTGAACTCACTGGTGTCCACCATATCCTTGCAACAGCATATGGTGCTGATGATCCACCGAACTAGGAAAGTTAATTTTAATTCCAAGTTGGTTTGCCAATACTAGACTGAGCCAGGGTTCCACTTTGGCAACGGCTGCCAATTCGGGACGGCAGGGGTAGCCAAGTGCTGACAACTGCTCCTGACCGGTCATGAGGCGCTTCCGCTTCTCGCACCTTGTGAAGCGCTGCTGTTGGGCTTATCAAGGTTCAAATCCAAATCAAAACATCGTTTCCTGAAAAGAAAGTTCCAAACATAATTCTGAGTGGCCAGAATTGGGATGAAGTTGTGAGACATGGTAAAGCTGAGTTCTTGAGCTCTGTTCGACGTCGCTTTTCTGGATTTGCAGACAAGTCGTACAAGTTCTTTCCAGGCATCACATCTCTGAACATGTTGAGGTGCCGTGTTTGACACCTTAGATAAGCAAAATAGATCTATATAAAATATGTGGATACATATATGCGTCCATATGTTTGAACAATCTAGTTTCAATCTAAGCACTCAGTCAGATCCCTTTCTTTGGTGCTCTTCATGGGCGTAAGAGGTCGTAGGTATATTCCATACCCCAAGTCTGGATCAGTGGATTTGTCCAACAATATCATGTCAGCTAGCTGTGTCAAACTCCACTTGGAAGTCCATGCACGGTGTGTAGAATGATAGCAGATTCGCCATGTCCGGAGTCTGTTGTTGGGGTGCCCGAACATCTTCGGGTCGGCCTTGGCATCCAATGCAGGTCATTGGAAGAGCCAAATGATTGGAGATGATGGAGATAGATGCTGAGGATTGCTGAGGCCAGGGCGTGAGCTTGCATATCTCGTGGGCGGGAAGATTCGTATGAAGAAACTCCTGAAAACTGAACATACAAAACGATACAAAAGTGTGGCTTGGAATCATCCTGTTTTGGGAAACATTGATGATGAATTAGTGCCGCATATTGTGGAGTCTCCTCTTCAAACGCAGGCACATTCTCATGGAGAGATACGTAAGCTCGTTGTTGAAACTTCACTGACGCTTTCTGCACTCGGCTCTTCTGTTCATTGGAAAACCCTTCTCCAAGGCCATACCTGGGAGCAAAACAAACCAGTGAAGTAGTGTGTGTATAAATATATATATATATAATTGTGAAATACATTTCAAAAAATGAGGCAGATTTAGACATGAGGCTGGGAGAACAATACGCATGGAGCTCCGACCAGTGGCACATCCTCTTCCAAGAAAGTGATTGGGCACCTGAGCGGTTCGGGTTGCTCTTTTGGAGGTTGACACCCTGTACTAAAATTGCAACGTACTTGATTCAAGGAACATCTGTTTGTGGGCTGCACACCATGCGGATTCTTGCAAGTTGAGATTGCTTGGTGACCAAGCATATTTACCAGACTTCCTCTTTTGCTTCACCATCTTCAACATGTCAGGAAAGCAGCAACCAGAATAAGAAGCATTGTGGAGTCGAATGCAAGCTCGATTGATTTCTACCTCAACAGATCATTCTAACACAGCGATTGTCTTTTGATGTGTATATCCAAATGTAGGTGATTCACAAAAAAGAGGACCGCTAAAATCATGACATATCATATTTGTTTATTTTAATATGCCCCATATATGCCCCTTTTAAACCGCAAAAAAGTAGATTGGTCAATTTGGGTGGAGGTACATTGAATCCCCAGGTTGTCGGAGTCTTGACACCCCAGCGATGTTCAACTGCACGAGTTAGCATTGCCCATGCCTGTCGCAAACAAAGGGCACCACCAAAGAGATCGCACATCCTCCAGGTGCAAGTGCCTAGGCACCAAAGATGGGGTGAAACATCTAGTAACTAGTAGGTAGTAGGTGTCATTTTTTGCAACCAATTAGCGAAACTTGCGCTTGACAAACTCCTCCCCGAAGATGGAGGCAGAACGCTCCAGCAAGATATGAGGCCATCGCCTCATGATCAAACACAGGTAAGGGATGCAATACAGTAGAGATATCTGTGTGAATCTATCAAGTGGAAAATCTCAGGCAGGGGCGCTAGGTCTCCGAAACTCGTTGGCATTGGGTAGGGCTGCCTGCCAAAACACCAGGATGGGAAAGATGTTTCAACCCATCATTTTTTCATCCATGCTCTGTTGACTTTATGAGTGACAATAATATTCAACCTCTTGAAGCCTAGGTGCATATCATAGAATCCAATTTCCCTGTCTAGAGCTGACTCCAGATCATCCTCCTCCGGCTCATCACTGTCTTCGATCACATAGCATGCAGGATGCTTGAGCACACCCTTTGCAGCTGGCTTCTTCAACGAGGCTGCGCGCTTGCGGTTCAACAGTGCTCAAGTTCATGGCAACTTAGCAGGAGCACACTACACAGAGGGAAAAGCAGGGAAAGGAAATAACAGTAATTGCTGGAAATGGTCATTAATTTATGGATGGTGTGAATGATCAAGTGTTTTGCACTGCACTGTGTAGTCTTAGACAATCAGTTTGGGCCATCACACACCGGTTCGCATTGACATCACTGTGTTCGCATTGACGTCACTGCTGGTGTGATCCAATCTCTGGTAGGATAACAAAGATAACCTAGACATACAAAACTGATAGATATATATATATATAGAGAGATCAGATATATAGTTTGGAAAAGACAGTTGGCACCAGCACTGGCTCCTGGTGAAGTGCAGAGCCCACTGAGTCTGCGCACTTGGGGGCACAACCGCAGGTCTTGATGATGACTTTGATGATGGACCTGGACCTGGCAGCTATCGATCGCGGTTCTTGGCAGAGCTAAACCGTCCCTTGCTCCATTCGTGTGATGAAAATCCTCACACATCAAGAACAAACATGTTTTACGACAGATGTGATCCGTATAAAGTTGGGATGTGTGTGTGAAATGTGTATAAGTATGTGTATATACCTGTATGTGTTGTATGTGCCACATCGATCTCATATCTCATATGTGTTTGCGATAGCCAACCGAGCCTTCGCGAATAATGGCCTTCGCCATAGACCGGTTTCCTGGAGTAGCGGCAGGCCATGAAGACCGAACATGAACAAGAGCAAATAAGATGGACTATTATTTTTGTGGATTGGCAGGTGTTCTCCCTTTTTTCTAGTTCATTCTATTTTACTGGTTGTGTATTTGCCACGCTGTCACACAGATCCTGTCCTGCAAGTGGTGTAGGGAAGCTGATGTAGCGACCTGAAGTAAAGGCGACCCTCTCTTTGTGCACATGATACCGTGCCACTGCTATGTTTGATCATGCATCTCATAGCGTGCTTATGCATGTTTGTTCCATGCGAAAAAGGGCCGCATTGAAACTCTGATTCCCAATCAGGTTTGAAACCATTCCAACTGTGCTGGATAAAAATCAACATTTACTACTGATATCTTGAAAAGCCCTTGGTATGCATAATATGTGTTTTGTAGATTTGGGTCAAAACCTATATAAACCCGGGTCCTGAGGGCTCAAAGTTGGGGCTTGGGGGGGGTCAAGTTCATCAAAAATCTTGCGTCAAGGCGTCCAAATTCTGGGTCCTGAGGGGTCCAAGTTGGGGCTTGGAGGGGT